ACTTTAGTGACGCGATTTAATCTCCGCTATTTTGCGTAGCGCGGTTTTGTCGTGCCACGGCTTTGCTTAATGACCTGCACGATCACTTGGCAATTGCAACAGGGAGAGCTGGAATTGTCGTCATTGAATGAGTGATCACATGGCTGTCTGCTTAATGACCATTTTGCTCAATGACTGAGATTCTACTTCCCATTGTGATTGTAAATCAAGGGCTGTCTGTAGACTGTATTGTAATAATTTGACTTAGAAATAACAAGGCTAGTCTGTTGTTGAAGCCTCGATTCTAAGAGCCAGACATGGCAGGAGGAGTCCCAAACCATGAATACCTATTGTTTATTTCAAATACTTTTTTAAAAAGAGAGATGATTTAATTAATAATTTTATTAATTTATACTTTTCTGTTGTATTTTGTAAGAACATGTGCTATTTTGTTTTACTTGTTAGATAATGTATCAGCTGTAGTTCTTGTAAGAAATGTACATGAATGTACTTAATTTGTTATTTCACTATGTATATAAATTCATTATCCACTGATTCTTTTATTATTATTCCTTTATTATTGTATGTGCATAAATCTATCAGGTAGACATTTTAATCAATCTGCTGCTTCTTATGTGGTTGTGCCACTGCTACACAATTCTATTCAAGTGAAGACAAAAGTCTATTCAAGAGTTCCGAACTCCTCAGCTTTTACCAGTGTAGTATGGTTTAATCCTCTGCCTTGCAGACAAATGACGTTTCTCAAATGTACATGTCAAGAAGTTGAAATATCTATTTTATTTCAATTTATTTTTGTCTACATTGTATAAAAATTGTAAAGTTTTTTAGCACGTTCCCGAGGATAACCTGTGTGTTACAAAATAATACAAAGCAATTTGAGCCATCTCTTTTTAAATTAGGCTTAGGCGCTATCTCAACTAGTGTATTCACTCTGCAAAAGCAATCTTGTAAAGTTTATTAAGACAGTGGAGACACCTGAAAAAGCTTCCTTTGTGCTGCACTTTCAAAACCTGCTAGGAAGTTAAGTGACTCTCTTACAAAAAATTTTTTCATATTCTCTGAAAATACTAGGAGCATCATGATTATGAAAATAAAATGAGAGAATTTTCCTATGTATACTGCCTTGAGAGAAATCTAAATAAATAGTTCCAATGTCAAAGCTCCGACTAACGAAGCCAAGCAAATTAGAACTCTGAGACTTGGCTCTTTCTCAAATATCTTCTTTAATTAGTACATCATATCGCCACAACTTCAATGGAAAACTAAATCTTTCTCCCGGTTTCAGTATAATTAGGAAAGAACTCCATCCCCAAATGTCACCGTTAACATTGACCAGTTGGGTTTATTGGCAGGCTCTTCAGGCACTCCTTCCCCAACCTTACTGGTGCCAATAGATATCACCTTGGTTTTCAGGAGAAAGTTCTTTGTTCTGTCTAATAATGGATTCCAACCTCCTTTCCCCTGTGTGTCAACTGAGGAACAGAAAGATGGCTGCAGCCAGGTTCAGTTCAAAGTTGGCATCCAGGATGATTATTTTACCATGTGTTCAAACCAC